CAATCCAACTTGCAAATTTCGAACAGTGGTGGACTGGTCCTCAATGGTTAAAGGATGATGAATCAACATGGCCCCAATGGGAAAATAATATTTATCATGAACATGACGAATATGAAACCAAAATTTATACGGCAACGGCAACAACCAAAACCATCACAATCAGAAGCTTTCAGCTAATTGATGCAACTCGTATTAGTAAATGGACGAGACTACGAAGAACAGCAGCTTGGGCATTAAGATTTTTAAGATATATATCGAAGGGAAGATTCACATGGTTGAAAGAAGTACCAGAAGACACAGAATTAACGTCATACGAACTTGCCGAAGCAACCAAAGCCTTAATTATACAAGCTCAATCAGAAGGTATCAATGATAAGGAAATAAACAAATGGAACCTTTATTATAGCGACACACATTCCATATGGAAATGCCGGAGCCGACTGGATAATACTAGTATAGGAATATAGCCAGACAGTCTAAATCTAATATATCTTCCAAGGCATAATCCAGTAACTAAGCTCCTCATCCAACACCAACATGAAGATTTATGTCATGCAGGAATCGCCCATACATTATCAGAACTAAGAAGAAACTTCTGGATACCTAAAGGCAGAACAGAAGTAAAAAGCGTATTAAACAAATGCATGGCGTGTAAAAGATGGAAAGCGAAGCCATTTAAATTACCAATCATGCCAAATGTACCAGAATCTCGAATTATACGGACTCGGACGTTTGAAAATGTCGGCCTGGACTACCTAGGCCCTCTTTCTATAAAGGGCGAAAGTGGTCTTACCAAAAGATGGGTAGCCCTATTTACATGCTTTACAACCAGGGCTGTACACCTTGAATTAGTAGATGATTTAACAGCTGAAAGTTTTGCACACGTATTAAGAAGATTCAGCGCGCGTCGAGACTATCCTAGACTGATTCTCAGTGATAATGCTAACCAATTTCAATTAGTTTTTAAGACCATTATGAAATACACTACCAAAATGAAAAACTTCCTAACAATGAAGGGAATCATTTGGAAGAGTATAACTCCAAGAGCCCCGTGGAGTGGCGGAGTGTATGAACGGTTGATTGGCTTAACAAAAAATGCGACGAGAAGATGCATTGGAAGGAAATTATTATCGCAGAAGGACTTGATCACATTAATAGTGGAAATAGAAGGCATATTGAACACCCGACCACTGACATACGTAAGCTTCGAGGACTACGTGATCATACGACCAATTGATTTCATTTCACCAAACGCCTCTCTGGTAAGTCAAATTTTTGATGAGGAAGATCAAGACGAATATACTCCATATACAATGAGTAGCCAAGAAAAATTGATCAAATACTAGTCACGTACAAATGAAGCCTTAGATAAATTTTGGGAATTATGGAAAAGGGAATATCTAAATAGTTTAAAGGAACGGACTCAAAGAAATCACATCTCCCCAAGATCAGTTAATGCAAGGGAGTCTGTGGAACAAGAAATTGTATTAATCAATGAACCAAAAATTCCCCGTGGAATGTGGAAACTAGCAAAAATAAAGGAAATCAAGAGAGGACGAGATGGACAAATAAGAAATGCTATAATCGAATTGCCACATGGAAAACTACTCGATAGACCAGTGAATCTATTATATCCTCTAGAAGTTGATGACAAAGAAATAAAAGAAACTAATCAACAACCAATCCCAGAAACTCCAATACAACATTCTGAACCGGAGGAACCAATTGCTAGAAGAACCGGAAGGGCCACACAGATACAAGAAGGAACTCGATCAATTACTAAGTCAATAACGAATTGTTTATATTTAGTAGCGCTGTTCCTCATAACCGCAGTTGAAACAAACGCCAAGCAAAATTGTAAATGGGTATCAGGTACTCCTTTTAATATTCCGCAAAAATGGAATTGTAATGGAATTACACCACAAAGAGTCACATTGGCTCAAGTCACAGTTTATACTGGAACTCATATTCGGATACCTGCAATCAAATGTAGTAATATTACCCGAACAGTGTG